GCTGTAGTCTCTGGCTCAGAAACTAAGGTGAGGAATCTTGGGGACCCTTTTAGAACTGTCTATCCCAAGTGTGCCTGATAAATATTCATCTTATTAGAGTTCTCTTTCTCTCTGTATAACTTAAAGTTAAGAGAGTTTTGATTTTTCTGATAGATGTTTCTGTGATTTGGAGGAGAATTGTAATTTTCTTTTTTTAAAAAAATTTTTATTAGGATATAGTTGTTGTCCAGGGGGGGATTCATTGTGACCATTCCAAATAGGCTTATATTGTACATTAGTTAGGTCACCCCCACCATCTCTTCCCCTGGCTTAAAGCAATTGCAAGAGGTTTCTTTGTTCTATTTCATATAAGTATATGAAGTCCATCAACCATATTCCCTCACCTTCATCTACTCCATTCAACCTTCCTTCTCCTACAAATATCCCCTCACCACTGTACCTATTTTACAGTCCTGTCTTTTGTTATTAATATTTAAGTCGATGTTCAAAGAGGTTTCTCAATGTTTGCCCACTGTGCGCATACTTTACTTTGGTCCATTCAACCCCTTTCATTACTCTCCCTAACCTCTTTACCTCCTTCCCCCCATTTTTTCAATACCATTCCCGGGCATATATCCAAAGGAACATAAGTCAAGATACAACAGAGACACCTGTACACCAATGTTCATCGCATCACTATTCACAACAGCCAAGCTATGGAAATAACCCAGGTGCCCTACAACTGATGAATGAATCAAGAAAATGTGGTGTATATACACAATGGAATATTACTCAACCATGAGGAATAATGATGTGGTTTGAAGGTAAATGGATGCAATTGGAGGACACCATACTAAGTGAAGGAAGCCAGGCTCAGAAAGACAAAGACCGCATGTTTTCTCTCATGGGTGGAAGATAGATCCAAAAGACAACTGTGATTTTCCCACTGATGAGGTTGCATCATAGGTTCCTGCTTGCCTGTCACTGTGTAGCATACGCTACTCACTGCCTGGCTCAGGTGCTGGTTCTGGAGAACTTTACCTTGGCTGTGTGTGGTGCTGTCACTCCAGGAACTGGTCTTCAGGTTATTTCCACATTCTGTGAAGCCAGCTGCTTCAGGATGGTGGGACCCAAATCAGACCAATAAATGATGTTGACATATGCTCTTTCCTGTACCTGGGCAGTGCATGGCTGGAGCCAGGCTGGCCTTGTTGAATGGAAGGAAGTCCATGTTGCTTACTTAGGGTTAGCTTCCATCACTGCCACCATGGCCACTTTGCTCATGAGTTCATTGGCAGTGGAGTGGCTGGGAAGGAGACTCATGGTCCCCCAATTATTAAAAGCCTCTTTGAGGTCACCCTTTAGAGAGGACACAGATGGCTTCATGTCCTTTGACTTTTGTCCATTTGGAGAGGCCAGTCAACATCCCACTTCCTCAGACTTCATTGTCACCAATTTCCAGTGGTGTTCCTTCTAGCTCCCTTAGTAGTTTAGTCCTGTCCAGGCACCAAGCACAGTCCAGGAATTGGCTCATTATTGCATATCTGGCCATTTTTCTCTTACACAAAAGAAAACCCAGGTCACTGTCCCAAGTTCTATCTAGTAGGAGGACTTTTCTTTCACCACTGTCCTCCAGGGATGTCCCAGAGAGTGGCTAAATGGCTGCAGCTGTCCACTTTGGGGGTGGTGCCTGCTTATTGTGCAGAACCAGCTGTAAACCAGGGCTCAACTTCGATGGTCCCCAGGAGGCTGCAGGTGCATGCTGGGATAGAGAAGGGGACAGTGCCAGGAAAGGGATCTTGGGCATTTGGGTCATTTCATGTAACTTACTTGTGCTTTGGGTCTGTTCAGGCCCAATCATATATACGCCACTCCCATTTGATGATGGGGTGTTACTTATACACCAATCTTTGTGGCTTTGTGAGTCAGATAACACCCAGCTCCTGATGGACAGCTCAGGTGGCCTGTATCAAACACTCCAGTTTTTCTAAGTCTCAAGACCAGATCTGAGCTCTGTTGTTAGAAGGAAAGGCCTTATCTGCAGAAGATGGTAGGCCTTGCTCCAAAGTCTTAATCTTGGATCGGTGGCTCTGATCTAGTCACATTAGTATGACATGCTGGGAGCTGGGGAAGCAGCTAAGGGGTCATGCTGGAGATGAGGACCTGCAGCTGTGTCTTGTCCAGGGCCGGGATCAGATTGGTAGGGAAACAGAGGAGCAGACCAGTGGAGCCCATGGGCCTTGTAATGTCTGGCTACTCTTCCTTCTAAGATCAGTGGAGATGGATGAGTGTTTTAGTGGAATGCTACAGTCTCAGGACTTGGGAATCTACCAGATGCAGTAGCTGGGCAAACTACTGTGCCCTCGCCCCCAGAACCTGTGATCCTAGCCTTGCTGGAGTTTGACAGCTTTTCCTCAGGTGTCCAGCAAGAGAGCAGTGCTCCTGATCTCACAGGAATACAGCAAGAATTGCTGCCTAGGCTGCCATGGGTGTCCTGCTGGGCCAGGGTCTGTCCACATGAGGTGTTGCTTTCTGTAAGGGGCTGTGGGTATTTATTAGAGTCTATACTTTTATTTCTGGGAGTGTGAGTATAAAACAGGACTTCTTAATTTTATCCTTGAAACTGTTTGTTGACTATGTCAAACTGTACTTAGTAAATATATTCAAAATAAACTTTCTATTTAGAATTGTATGAAACCAGCTAGGCGTGGTGGCTCATGCCTGTAATCCCAACTATTTAGGAGACAGAAATCAGGAGGATCAGGTTTGAGGCCAACCCAGGCAAAAGTTACCAAGATACCATTTCAGCCAATAAAAACTTTGGTGTAGTAGCATGCACCTGTCATCCCAGCTACACAGGAAGCATAAATAGGAGGATTTTGGTCCACGCTGGCCAGGGCATATATGTGAGATACTATTCAAAAAATAACTAAAAGCCAGGTGCTGGAGCCTCACGCCTGTGATCCTATCTACTCAGGAGGCAGAGATCAGGAAGATCGAAGTTCAAAGCCAGCCCAGGCAAATAGTTCTCAAGACCCTATCTTGAAAAACCCATCAGAAAAAAGGGTTGGTGGAATGGCTCAAGTGTTAGAACTCCTGCCTAGCAAGTGTGAGATCCTAAGTTCAAACCCCAGTACTACCCCCCCCAAAAAATAAATAAAGGAAAAAGGGCTGGTGGAGTGGCTTAAGGGGTAGAGCACTTGCCTAGCAAGCCCAAGGCCCTGAGTTCTAACCTCAGTACTGCCAAAATAATAATAATAATAATAATAATAATTGTATATGAAGAATGTGATAAAACTTACTAACCAGTCATGGAGTTCACACCTGTAACCCCAGCATTTGGGAGGGTGAGGCAGAACAATAGTGAGTTTACAAGACCCTGTCTCAAAAGCAAAACAAAGGTCCAGGTGTGGTGGTGCACATGTAATCTCAGCTACTTGGGAGGCTGAGACAGGAGGATCCAGGTTCCAGGCCAGTGTAGTCAAAAGTTATCTTGAGACCCTGTCTGAAGAACACACTAAAGCAAAAAGGGCTGGAGGGGTGGGTCAAGTGGTAGAGCGCCTGCCTAGCAAACACGAGTCCCTGAGTTCAAACCCCAGTACCTTGAAAGGAGCAGACAAAAAACAGTGTACCTAAAGGACATAAAAGAAGACAGGAATGTGAATGAATGGAATTCTTACCATTCTTGAGAAGGGAGAAATAGGAAAAAGGAAGTTATTCTATCCAGTTAATTTCAGTGCTTGAGAGAAGAGTGGGGGAGGGCAGTTACTCTTTTTGATTTAAAGACTTCAGATTGTTTTTCTTAACTTTGGAAAGTGCATCTTCTGGGAAATAGATAGATAGGAACAGCACAGAATGTGGGTGGAGGACCAAAGCCCGGGGAGGGTCTAGGGCCAGCAAGTGGCCCTCACACTCTGCCCCCGTGCATTATTCCTGGTGTGCATGGAAGGCAGCCTCCTTTGTCATCATGGTGTTATCTTTTAAAAAAATTATTAGGATAGATTTGTTGTACGGGGGATTCATTGTGACAATTCCAAATAGGCTTATATTGTACACTGGTTAGATCACCCCATCGTCTCTCTGTCTCTCAACCCACTCCCCACTATACTTAAAGCAATTGCAAGAGGTTTCTTTGTTCTGTTTCATGTAAGTATATGAAGTCCATCCACCAAATTCCCTCACCTTCATCTCCTTCATCCACCCTCCCCCTCCCACAAGTGCCCCCCACACTGTACCTATTTTACAGTACTGACTTTGGCTATTAATATTTAAATTGATGTTCAAAGGGGTTTCTTGATGTATCCCCGCTGTGAGTCTACTTTACTTTGATCCATTCAACCCCTTCCATTGCTCTCCCTTACCCCTTCCCTCCCACCCCCCATTTTTCAACATCCTTATGTCCTCTACCTGCACAGATGTGATATTTTATGATATTACTGACGCTCTATCATTCTCTTTTCCTTTCCTTCCTTCCCCGAGTTCCATAGAGCGGTTCCACTGTTACAAACGTGTCCTACATGTGAGTTTGTATATGACCATGCTTGTTTTTGTGTATATGTTTATCTTTTGGATCTATCTTCCATATATGAGAGAAAACATGTAGCGTGTGTATTTCAGTTCCTGATTTACTTCACTCAACATGATGTCCTCCAATTGCATCCATTTACCTTCAAACCACATGGTGTCATTCTTCCATATAAATGAGTAAAACTCCATCATGGTATTATTTAAAGTGACAGCCAGGTGCCTGTGGCTCATGCCTATAATCCTAGCTACTCCGGAGGCAGAGATCAGGATTGTGGTTTCAAAGCCAGCCCTGGGAAAATTTAGTTCACAAGACCCTATCTCGAAAATACCCAATACAAAACAGAGCTGGTGGAGCGGCTCAAGTGCCTACCTAGCAAGTGTGGAGATGCTGAGTTCAAACCCCAGTGCTACCGATAGATAGATAGATAGATAGATAGATAGATAGATAGATAGATAGATAGATAGATGATAAATAAATAATAATTCTCCTTCAGTGTTTTCCAGGGTGCCTGACGATTCAGATCCGCACTGTCCTATGTATGTTTATAGTGGTCTTAATCTACTCGGTAGCCCAAGGATGTGTGGTGAGCATCAAGACTTTCCTTCATGGCTGGGGTGGGAGTCATGGGAGGGAGCCTCCAGGCTCGGCTGGTGCTGTCTGGTCTGGTCCAACTTGTCCCCTTCTCTGCCCTGCATCCAACTGGGGACCTTTTCAGGCTATGACAGCAGTGACAGTAGGAGGGTGGAGGTCATTATGGGAGACTGGGGGAACTGTGAGATGTGTCACCCCAGTTTCCTGAGAGCTGCCGGCCCTCATCTAGCCATTCCTAAGCCCCTGGGCCTTTTCTTCCCAGGTGGGCTGCCTGCCCTGGGCCTGGAGCTCCCAGTCCAACAGCTCCCTGGTGGTCCTGGCAGCTGGTGGCCGGCGCACCGTGCTGCCTGCCCTGCCCTGTGAATCTGCACACCACGCCCTGCTCTGCTGCCTGGTGGGGACCCTCCCGCTCGCCATATTCCTGAGGGTGTCCTCCTTGCCAAAGATGATCCTGCTGTCCGGGCTCACCACATCCTACATCCTCGTTCTGGAGCTCAGTGGGTACACCAAGGCCGGGTGAGTGTGGGATGTTAACCATTAAATCATATGAATAGCTACACAAAGCTGATTAGCACACTAACATGGTCTAAATGCATGCACTATTTTTAGACTACTTCCAGTCTTCAGCCCAGATTCTAGCAAGGCCTCAGACTCCAGCTGAGAAGGGGGTGTTGGCCTGGGTCCCTTTGTGCAAGCCACTTACAGCCATTGTCACCTGGGGAATGCTCTCTACCCAGCTCTGGGGTTTGATGACTGAATGTTTCCTGGAAGCTCGACACTGATCAGCTTTCCTTCTTCACCTTCCTGCAGGGGTGGTGCCCTCTCTGGACGCAGCTACGAGCCAATTGTGGCCATCCTGCTGTTCTCATGCACGCTGGCCCTGCACGCCAGGCAGCTGGACGTCAGGCTGCGTCTGGACTACCTCTGGGCTGCACAGGCAAGATGAGCCCTCCCTGCTTCCCTGGGGTGTAGGATGGAAAGTCTTCAGCCAGTGCCAGCAGGCCATGACACTTCCAGGCCGTGGGGCCCACAGAGACCGAGGCTTAGCAGCATGCAAGGGCCGAGCACTGTTCAGGGATGGAGGTCTGAGACCTGTCTCAGGATGAGGCATGAGAACAGTGCCTGTGGGATGACTGTACAGAAGGCTATAGGATGAGTGTACTGGGTGCTCTCTGCTATCAGAGTGGCTGTTTGGTGAGACAGTGAGTTCCTTGTCCTCAGCATTGTGTGGTGGTCATGCTCAGAGGGGCCTTGGCTTCCACAGGGGCTGGATGGTGGCCAGGCATCCCACCAGGGCTATCAGGAAATGAAAAAATGCCAAATCACACTCCACCCAACCAGACTGAGTAGGTCTGCTGTGGGAACTGGGAATTATATTTTTAAATAATTACCCTGGGCAATTCTGGCAGGAGAGACATGAAGATCCTTTTGGAGAAGTGGCCACAGAGCAGCAGTGTGGGCTGGCCTCGGACTCTGGCCATCTGGATACCAGGCAGGGTGGCTTGCTTTCTTGAAGTCTGTAGGTGGCTTTGGGGTAGACAGGTGCCATCTGCAGGATGTTTGCCTGAACTCTTGCTGTGCAGCCACATTCAGGGATGGCAAGAGTTACCTGTGCTCCCAGCTATAAGCACACATCTTTGCCTGCGCCTGCACCACCTGCTTGTCCCCAGGCTTCTGGGGTGCAAGACAGTTAAAAGAATTTGGACCAAATTCCCTGGGGTCAAATTCCATCTGTGGAATTTGCTTACAGTCTCCCCCCGGGACCCATTGTTCTGCCTAGATTCCCCATCACCGAAAAAGGGGTGCAATGGCTGATGATTCTCAGTTAGTAAGGACCATTTTTGTACTCTGCCATGTTGAGAACAGTTGTTTGCTGCTGGAGTGGAGCTGTATAATTTCGTTTGTTCTCAGAGCGGCACCAGGTCCACAGCAGGGACAAGCCAGGGGGAGCAATGGCTGTGCTGTGGTAAGTGGCTGAGCCCAAATCCAGCTGCAGTCCATGTGATCTCCAGACAGGCTCAGAACCCCCAGTGTCCTAGGCCCAGGGCCTCCACTCTTCAGCCAGCACTGAAGTGGGGCCAACCTGTGACAGGTGTAGCCAGAGAGTGGTGGGGAGGGACACAGACCACTAGAGAGCTCACCATGACAGGACCCGGAGGGTTCCAGTTGTCTCGTGGCAGTGGGACCAGCTCTGACGCACCTGTTGGAGTGGGAGAGCCTGGTGGTTTGTCATCCTTGGTCCTAAAGCTGAGTGGGCAGCAGGCTGTGTGGTGGAGGGACCAAGACCATGGTCAGCAGCAGCAGAGGTGATGAGAGCTGCCCTGGCATTGATAGTCCTTGTTCCAAATTCCAGTAGGGCCAGTGGTTAGCCAAACTCTTGCCCTCCAGCAGTAAAATGGGGGTGAGAACCCCAATCAAGGTTGCACAGAATAACTGAGACTCCTTTTTCGGCATGCTGGCCTTGGGCTTGGAGTGAGGGAGGAAGGTGTGCTGGCTTGCTTGTTGTGGGTGGCTATACCCATTGGGGCAGGTCATAAGTCCTGTTGAGTGGCCAGCTCCTGCGGGCACTGCCCATTGACCCAACCCAGCTGGAAGTGGAAGCGGGATGCCTGTGGTTAGTAGTAGCTACGTCAATCTCCCCAGGACAGAGCAGGTAGGGAAGGCCTCAGGTTCCGGTTCCTGGAAAGGAGACCAGCAGTTGCTGTTTGTCAGAGCCATGCCAGTTAATGGTGTAATGAGCCTCTTTACAGTCCTGTGCTGAAGATTGTGGTCTTTGTTGGGCTCCACTGGCTGTCCTAAGATCCATTAATCTGCCATCAGTTGTCCCCTCTGGTTCAAGATCTTTTTGTTGGGAATATCTACCCAGAGCTGAAGAAGAATGGCTTTAAAATGAACCAGGAAGAACAGGACAGCCAGAGTGGCAAAATGGGGGTGTGTAAGGTTGTGTACTTGGGTACCTGTATGACTCCATACTGTAAGCAAGTGGAATTGAGGTCTTGTCTGTGACTTCTAGCTGGAGGACATTCCCTATGGGAGGTATTTTTTCTCATTTGGGTTGGTATGGACTTTTTTTGTTATTAAATTACAATATTTGACCCTTGTCATGTAATTCTACCACACCCCCAGTCAAAGCCCTCATATAGGAGGTTACCAGTGAGTTTCAGGCACTAATGCATTCCTCCTGCACAGTCCTCACTCTTGGCCCTCCTGCCTGTGTGTCATGAGGCAAGAGTTGCTAAATGGAACACACTGACACCTTTTTTTTTCCATAGATAGGTGGCAAGAAAAATTTCACCTCATTTTCCTGTCACCCCAACAAAACATGGAGCATCTAGACTTTGTCTCCTTGACCTCTGGCCATTTAGACAGGTTGTCTCCAACTATTGCCTCATTCTCAAAACAAACACCTGGTGGGTTAATTATTTATGGAGACCAGATTGGATAGACAAACCTACATAAATAGACAGGAGTTACCCTTTTGTGGCCTCTGTAAGCTTTTTATTTTTAACTAGTGGGAAGCTTTCATCCTTCTGTTGTCATTTTCTTTGAACTCAGTAGATAATCACCATGGCAATTACGATTTCAGTGTTTACAGTCATTAGCATCAATCAAGCTAACTTGTTTGAATACCAGTAATATTTAATCTGAGCTAATTCCCATGGTGCAGTAGTCATTATTAACCTTGAGAGGAAGGGGTGCTTTTGGCTTGGTTATGGCAAAGGCATGGAATTCCCCACAGTAGAACTAAATTGGAAACCACATTGCTCTCCTGACTCCAGTCCCCTATGTCCTGTGTCCTTGAGCATGCATTTCTCACCCGTATGACAGTAGTTGAGAGTTTCCATCACACACCTAAGTCAAGGTCACCTTTCTCTGACTCTGAAATGCTATAGCATGTCATTCATCATTTTGTACTGTTACTCAACACGGGCTTTACCTTTAACAACAGCTTTCATTGGAGACAGAAGATTCCTTATCAGTCACCTCCTCTTAGTTCCACCTCATCTGGGTCCCAATACCACCACACTGAGGATCGAGCCCTCAGGGACAGACCACACCCAAACCATAGCAATGTCTCTGTCTGGTTTTTGGTAGAATTGTTCTCGGAACTGGTAACGCTTCAGGGAGGGGTCTCTAAGAGGAGGAGGCTTCTGCCTGGCCCTTGGTACCAGATTTGTGATGTTATTGCAACAAAGAATTTTAGGACACATTGAGGCAGAGACCAGGAAAATTTATTATTCAAGCAAAGTAAAAGAAAGAAAGAGCTGGGTGTGAGCACATCTGATAACAGGTGCAAGGAGTGCTCTAACATTGGGGTATTTATAGTGAAAAATTTGGTTGGGGGTTGGCTTGAATTCACCTTGGGAAAAGTACTCTGACATCTGGTGTAATTAGTTGCTTTTGGTGTTTCACTGTCTTATCAATTGGACCCAAAGATTTCAAAGTTGGCCCGCTCTTTAAATTTGAGTCACTATGACACAGGTATTTGAACATCCCTTTAAACAAAGGGTGGGTCCTGCCAGATGCTCCCTTCAGGACAGGCATCCATCCTTGTGATATTTCCTTTGTAGACACTGTGTCCAGAGACATTGTTTTACTGAGTTCTTTTCCAGGATAAGTGTCTTTCTTTAAGATGTCCTTGCTCAGTTCCCGGAATGCACTAATTACTTTTGGGCAAGTGGCAAGGTCAGCGGGAGGGAGCTGCTCTTTCTCCCTTTTTACTAAATGTTACAGCTAGTTTAGGGGATGTATGTTTTAAGCAAAGAAAATAGTGCCTGTGTGCTTTTTATCAAGCCGTTCATTGATACAGTATTTATCTGTGAATTGCTGGCCACTGTTATCCTGACGTTGATAGATCAATTTCCTGATCTATCTAGCCTCATGGGATGAGTGGGAAGTTTCCATCCTTAATCATTTTCCAAAAGAGTTTGTATAGAATTGGTATCGTTTCTTCCATAAATGTTAGGTATAATGAATCCCTCTGGACTTGTATCTTTTGGTTGGTTTGTTTTTTGATGGGGTAATTTTAAACTAAAATTCAATTTCTCCAAAAATATAAAGCTATTCAGTCTTTCCCATTGTTTTTGAGGTCGTTTTGGAAGTTTGAATCCTTCCCTAGCATCTGTCAATTTTGTTGACATAAAGTTGATTGTAATATTTCCTTAATGTCATTTTAATATTTATAGAGACTGGTCTCTATGATTTAATTTCTCCTGAACACTTTGGGTTTAATTTATTATTGGTTTTCCAAGTTGTTTTAGGTAATCTGAGAGAGGCTTATCTTCCTTTCTAATAAAGGTAACTTTGTTATAAATTGTCTTTAGCTGAATTCCACAAATGTTGGTATTACATGTAGTGTCATTTTCGTGTGCTTCAAAATACTTTCTAAGTTTCCTTCTGATTTCTTCTTGGAACCAAAAGTTGGGAAGTAGGGTCTTTAGTTTGAGGACTTCCCAGAGAGAGATCTTTCTGTTGTTGACTTCAAAATTTAATTATAGCATGCCCAATGGCTATACTTTTATGATTTGGATCCTTCCCTTAAGACTTGCCACAGTATCCATATTTCACGTGTTGTTGAACAGAATGTATATTCTGGTGCTGTTGGTGGATGGTGTGTAGTAAATTTCAGTGAAGTCAACTTGGTTGATAATGTACTCACTGATTTTTCTCCCTAGCTATCCTATCAGTTGTTGAGAAGGGTGTTGAAATCTCCAGTTATAATTGTGGGTAGAATACCTTGTAGTTCTATCAGTTTTTTGCTTTGTGTGTCTCAGTGATCTACCATTTGGTGCACAAATGTTTAGGATTTGCCCTCTTGATAAATTTGCCTCTTTATTACCCTTTAACATTCTAGCTTTCCCCTCCCCCAAGATCATAGTTGGTTCTGCAGTCTACTTTGTCTAATATTGATAGAATATTCAGCTTTTGTTTTATATG